GATATATAATATAGCTAAATGCGAGTACAGTACAGTACATCTTGAGATAACGTACAGTACGAAATATCTATAGTCCGAAAAAAATATACGGTCAACTTTCTCCAAGTGCAACTCGCCAAAATCGGGTTTATGGAAATTTAGAGTGAATACATACAATTATATACTTGAGAAGATACCTTTCATTTATTTACAAAGAGTTAACTGCAATTGGTCTTTAAAAGCTTGAATTATTTATTTTTTATTTGATCTTTAGAAATATTCTCAAGCTTTGACAGGATTTGTGTTTTAATGGTTTCTTATAATAATATGGATTATCGAAGATAGATGCAATATTTTGTTGCAACATAAAATTGAATGGAGATTGGAACTGGTCAAACAAATTATGTTCGGTCAAACTTTGATCGATTTTGACAATCAGACCGCCAGTTAAATTAATTTTATATCAACACAGAACAACCAATGTTCTTTAGTCAAGCAAAATGTGATTACCAATATACGATTATCTAAAATAATTATCAAATTTTTAATTAAGATCCAAAAACACCTTTAAATTGGTTCTTAAATCCACTTACAACTAGGGTGGAAATTATACGGTATAATAAATTTTGGTATACCGTACAGTATTTCTGCGACATGTGTACCAGGGGCATTCCCCTAGCTCATATTATGTACCCGAGTACTCGTGTGGGGGATACACCATATGAATACTTCTATGTATTTAATATGTTTTACTATTAAATGTCCGGGTATATAAGTATGATATCCTCATATTTATATACCCGGGTATAAATCAAGATTTGGCATCCAAAATCGCCGCAGGATACAGCCCACAGGGGTCCGCAGAAATACGGTAAATAGCAGGTTATTTTACCGTATAATTACTGTATATTAACCTTATATATAATACTGTACCTAGAAAGTACGTATATATAGGCTCGCCTATTCCTATGAAACTTTCATCTGGATTTCTATTGGCTAACTTTGTTACACTAAAATATACCAATTATACGGAAACTTATAATTATACTATACTAATTACACGGTTATTCTACTCTTTTTTATTATACGGTATCGTATAATTGTCCATCCCTATTTACAACAAAGACATATTGTTTTTATGACCTATTAATCAGACGTTGACCGGCTAATCGGTTAACGATTTAACGGTTTCAACCTCTAAAATTAAAACCCACCTTTAATCGATCTATTAATGGTTCTGATTTCGATCCTAAATGTAGGTTATTTTTTTCTTTACTGTATTATTATTCACGTCAAAAACAAAAAAATCCCGATACGCGTACTGGCCCATAATCGGGGATTTCCGGAAAGTTAGTTTAGATAAAGCATGCAAGATATAATAATAATTAATTGTTAACTGTGACATTGCAGAATGTGAATTTATTGGTTGATTTTAAGCGCAAAATTCATACCAAAGGCAATGTAGCGTTTCGAGTATCAAGAAAGCGCGGTAGCTTTTTTTAGAATTCGCAACACTGATAACGTAGTTATTATGTAAATTCGTATTTTAATAACTGGTTTACCGGCGTTAGATTTTTGAATTTACATTTCCAACTGTCGTTACCGTTACATCTGATCAAATTTAAAACGCTAAATATCAGACAGTTTGTAAATGCAATCTAAATGTTGGATAAGAACTTATGGAGTCGTAATACGTACGTATAGGTTCGATGTTGCATTTTTTTCACTATATATTATACTGTATAAATGATTATATCATTATACGTATACTTGTTGCTTATCGATTGATTAAAAGGAAATTGAACTTATCATTATGCGTGTGCATACAGAAATATTAGTAACACCAATAAATTTATTTGATCATTAGTAAATATTTATTTAAAATTTTATCTTATCAAAATATCCGAATTCTACTTATCTATAATCGTCCAGTTATCTATAACAGCATATCGGATATTGTTATCTTTTCGTTTTTTTTATAGTTACGACCCACCTATAATTATTTTTTGGGATTCGGTTAATCTCGGAACAATGACCTAATTTATTTCACAGAAGATAAGAGCTACGTAGTCGTGCGCGCCTTATTCTGATGACAGCTGTAGCATTATTATGTTTCTAAACAAACAAGAAATAATCTTATGCATTTTAAAATATTACATAATGATAATAAACTTATCAAATTTTTTATTTGCATAAAATGAATTTCTTCAGAGACGTCTACCTGTTGATTTGTCCTATGCGAGTTTTATTGTATTTATGCTGTGTATCACTTGATAATATTTATATTTAGTTGAAATGAAAAAAAAGCTTAACATATACCAGCATTTTCGACTTTGTTTTTCCTCACATTCCTTTTAAAGATTGTCGTTTTAATAAGTCTCTATTGTCGATACTACACGAATGGGTTCGCAAAATTCGAAGAATGGAAGAGTTATACCTGTTATTAATGAGTCACTGGGTAGTGAAGCCCATGAACAATTTCGATATTTACTGGGTCGAAGGTTTCATAATGTAACTGACATTATTTACGATTTGCCAAATGACGAAATTGAAGGTGCATACTAATTTCAAGAACGTTACAATTAATTATTCACTAAAAAAAAAAAAATGTTCTATTTTTATCGTTCTCACGTAAAAGTTGACCGGTTGCATTTGGAGCATTTTTTGACACGAGACATTTGGTAATAACTCATCTCATGGTATCAATCTAAAGATTAGAAATGGTAAACCTTTTTCTAATCATTTAAATAACAGGAAATCAAATTTCTCATCTCCGATAGTCACTCAATTAGAAGCAGGATGTAACGTCCTGGATGTTGGGTAATTATAATTCTCGCGTTGAAATATCTTATATTCAAATTAAAAGGTTAAATAATTCGAATATCATCACGAAAATAAAATAAAGATGTGGACCAGGCACGTGGACAATAGAGATGGCGGTACCACATTTTTAGTCATTATTAAAAAAAACTTTCAGGTTATCTTTCCAAGGTTTAACTAATATTCTTTATTTTCAGATTAATTATAATAAATCAACTTTCGTCGGTATAGACGTTTCACCAATATTTCCAACGGAAATCAAACCTAATAATGCCATTTTTGAAGAAAAGAATATCCTCAATGGAATTCCTCATCCTGATGAATCATTTGATTTTGTACATATGGTATGGTTTTTTTTTTCAATTGTTGTTTTAAATTTTAAAAATTTTAATTTCAAACATTTCAAAATCGGCAGCGATATATGTTCCCATCTTTTACAAAGAATCAATGGGAAGAAATGGTTATAAATGTGCGTGTTCTTTCATCTGAGACGCTTCTCCTTTAAAGTGTAACTGACATTCATGATTTTCTCTATTTATAATTAGGAAGTTGTACGTGTTATCAAAATTGGAGGTTGGTTAGAGCTATGTGAATATGAATTATGTCAAAATTGTGGTCCGGTATTGGAAAGTTTGCTATCTGCTCGTAAGTTCCATTTAATTGTCTTCATATACTTATACAGGCACTAACTAACAATCGATTCAATGAAAATAGGAAGAAAAATGCTTATAATGGAGGGAAGAAATCCGGACGTTGCTCAGATTCTTGGCAAATTAATGAGAAACACACAATATTTTGATGATGTTAGTATGTCATAAACTTTGAGCGTAAAGACTAATCTGTAATGTAAATGTCAATTTCGAAATCAACAGTTGCAGTATTGTTTCCAAACCTTTTTATTAATTTAGATCCACCACAAAAAAAAAGATGTTCCAATTGGTTCATGGGCTGGCAAGATAGGAGAAGTGGTGAATGTTTTCTCTGTTAAAGTATTTATTTATTTTTATACATATTTGACTTTGAAAAAACTTTTCAGGGAAGAGACAATATAATTACTCGGATGGTCGGAATAAAGCCTGCCCTATCTCCATTCATGAACATCACTTCCGAAGAATATGACGAAATGATACAAAAAAGTATCGAGGAGTTTAATGAGTATAGAACATTTTTCGTTACCTTTAGATGGTATGCTAAAAAAAAGCCAAAGGCACAACATAATTTATTCTGATAAATATTAATTTTTAAGATTTATGAACACTTCCAGTAAAAAAAAATTATTTTTATACATAAGTCCTATTTGTTTTTTTATCTAAGAAAAATTACCATAGAACAGATGGTAAATAAGTTATACTCATTTTGAATTTTTCTTTTTCTTTTTATTATTATTGTTTTGATTTGTTGCCTTTCCTACACTCTTTTTATTACTACTCATTAAAATAAAATTCGTCATAGTGTAGAATATATTTATAAGATTACCCTAGTGTCGATTATTGCTTGCTCATTTTAGCTTCTTTTCTTCTGGTTCGTTTGCAATCTCTACAATGTCTATTTCTAATTAACCAGACTTTTAATAATATT